AATTCACTGCATTACACATAAATATAAGAAGCATAAATAACAACATTGATAAGCTTAAGCAATTTCTAACCGAATGCAATTATTTATTCAGTATGATTTGTTTAACCGAGACATGGTGTATTGACGAATCGTCCAGAATAGATTCAAACTTAGAAATTCCTAATTACAAATTAATATCTTCTGAAAGAAAAACTAACAAAAGGGGAGGGGGAATTATTAACTATATTCGAACTGATCAAGCCACCAAATATAGACATGACCTTTCTACCTCAGATGCCGATAGTGAGGTCTTTACAATTGAGATAACAACAAATAACAAATCAAAAAACATATTAGTCTCCACATGTTATAGACCACCTGATGGTGATATAACAAAATTTTCTAATCATTTAAAACAAATTTTTTATAAAAATAACAACGAACAAAAAAAACTATTTTGTATTGGAGACATTAACATTGATTGCTTACAATACGATAAACATGCCAAAACTAAATTTTTTTTTGACGAAATGCTCCAACATTACATCTTCCCAATTATTAATAAGCCGACTCGGGTAACTCAATCATCAGTAACGTCAATAGACAATATATTAACAAATACAGTTCTTGATGTTACTTTAAAAGCAGGTATCATAAAAACAGATATATCGGATCATTTTCCGATTTTCTTTTCTCTGTTACACGATACAAAAACTACTAACTACTGTAAAATTGAAATTCATAAAAGGAAAATTAACAAATATACTATTCAACAATTTAAAGAATCACTATCGGCAATAAACTGGGATAAAGTATACCAAGAATGTAACCTTGGACGCACCAACTCTGCTTACACTAATTTTGAAAACAATTTTATAAAAAATTATAATAAATATTTCCCAATAAAAGTAATGCTAGTAAAAGAAAAACATCTAAAATGTCCGTGGATCACCCAAGGAATAATAAAATCTTCAAAAAAAAAACAAAAACTTTATATCAAATACTTAAAAAATAGAAATGAAGCAAACCTAAATGCTTACAAGAAATATAAAAATTTGATTGAAAAAATCAAAAAGATTTCAAAAAAGAATTATTACTCAAATAAAATAAAAAACTCCAAAGGTGATATTAAAAAAACGTGGGATGTAATTAAAGAAATAATTGGAAACAAAAATTGCAAACCAAATAGTTTACCTACTAAAGTTGTTATAAATAATGAAGAGTATGTCAGTAGTGACGTAATTTCAGAAAAGTTTAACAATTTTTTCGTTAACATAGGCCCTAACCTGGCTACAAAAATTAATTGTCCAAACAACTCATTTGAGACATACTTAACTAATAACAATGACGAATTAGCATTTAGCGAACTAAAAATTGAAGAACTTGAAGTTGCGATAAAATCTCTTAAAATAAATAAATCTCCAGGTATAGATGATATTTGTAGCAATATCGTTATCGATGTCTTTTTGGAGATACGCAAACCGATCTTCGAAATATTTAAATCATCAATTAAAACAGGTACTGTACCAGATAAATTAAAAACAGCTAAAATTATACCAATTTTTAAGACAGGCGAAACATCTTTATTAAATAATTACAGACCGATCTCTATACTTCCTACTTTCTCTAAAATACTTGAAAGAATAGTTTACAATAGATTATACGAATATCTCCTTCAAAATAACCTCTTAAACAAAAAACAATTCGAGTTTCAAACAAAACACTCAACCGAACATGCCATTTTAGATCTTGTAAATAGCATGAGTGATTCTTTCGATAAAAAGCAATTTGTATTAGGGACTTTTATAGATTTATCTAAAGCGTTCGACACAGTTAATCACAATATCTTACTTAAAAAAATGGAAAGATATAGTGTTACAAAAGTTACCTGAGTAGCAGAAAACAATGCGTTGTTACAGATCATAATAAATATTCAGACCTACTAGAAATAAAATGCGGAGTTCCCCAAGGTTCCATTCTGGGTCCCCTTTTATTTCTAATATATATCAACGATCTTCCAAAAGCCCTAAAAAAACTTGATGTAATAATGTTCGCTGATGATACAAATTTATTTTACTCATCGCCGTCTATAAGCGACCTTTACGAATCTATGAACACTGACCTCGAAAACCTCAACATCTGGTTTAAAGTTAATAAATTATCTTTGAATACAGATAAAACAAAATATATCTTGTTTCACTCCAACCGTCTTAAAAACTTTATACCAGACACTCTACCTTCAATAAAAATTGATAACATAAACATCAAAAGAACTGAAATAACTAAGTTTCTTGGAATAATTATTGACCAGAATATTAATTGGAAAGCCCATATTAATATAATAAACACAAAAATATCAAAAAGTATCGGCGTACTCTACAAAGCCAAACCTATGCTTTCCCATGACAACTTAAAAATTCTCTTCTTTTCTTATATTCAAAGTTACCTAATATACGCTAATATTGCATGGGGAAGTACCCATAAAACTAAATTAAATTCACTCTACATACATCAGAAACATGCATCGAGATTAATTTATAATAAAGATAAATTCACTCATGCCGACCCTTTACTTAAAAATTTGAATGCATTAAATATCTATCAAATAAATATTTACCAAAATATCTTATTCATGCTAAAAAACAAACTCGGACTTGTTCCGAAATACTTTACTGATAGCTTTTTTTATATCAACGCAAACAAATACATCACACGAGGAACAGGCAACTTCACCCTGCCTTTAAAAAAAACAAAATTCTCGCGATTTTCTTTAATATACCGTGGCCCATACTTACATAACAAAATAATAATTCAAAATATGGAACTTAATAAAATAGATAACCTTATTGCTCTGAAAAAAAAACTAAAACATGTCATAATTAACTTAACCAACTTCATCGAAATGTATTAAACAATTTGTGAAAAATAGTAATAATAAAAAGCCCTACTACTTCTACTCTATAGTAGATACCAAAATACTTATGTGTATTTGTTGAACTAGTTCATTAAAGTTTATTTTATGTTTTAAAGGTTCTCGATGAAAAGACTATTTTAGTCTTCTGCGAGTTTCCTTACAACAAAGTAAATATTTTTTAAGAATAATTATATATATATATATATATTCAACAACGTCCACAAGCAAGTCCCTAGTAGCCCTGTGGTACGACGGACTTGCATATATTTTTTAAATGCATGGGTTAATAGCCAGCACTTTATATTATAAACAACGAATAGTAGTTAACTTATTTTGAACACGGTACAACGCGCATGCGCTAAACAGAATTTTGAATTTCTTTTGTCTTGTAAAGATTTTAATGGTACAAAAATTGTTTAATTGTACGTTTTGTAGTTATATGTAAAAATATGTAATTTCGTTTTATTGAAATATATACGGATACTTTTGTTGTAAAAAAAAAAAAAAAAAAAAAAAAAAAAAAAAAAAAAAAAAAGAAAAAATTTAGTTTTTATAGTAGTTTAAAAATAGTTTTTTTTAGATTTTGTAAATGACTTAGGTAGTCAAAATTTGGGTGTTTTTTGTTGAAATAACTATTATTACAAAGATATTAACAATATAAAGTGGTTTCAGAGTGGTTTCATATTTCAGAGTGTTAACCAGGAATAAATTTGATACAGCGTTTTAACGAAATTGGGAAATTGTCAAAGTATTTCTCAATAACCCCCCCTCCCCTGATATTAAAATGTGTTGAAAGCATGGGGTCTTTTTTTGGTGTTCTTTTTTTTTTTCTACTCTACTTCAGCGCTGCATACATTGATTGATCAGCGCCAAAAATAAAATAAAATACCATCTGTATTATTAAAGATGAATATGAAATCAACACAAAATTAGCTGTTGTTTCACGACGACACGGCAAACTAAGAACCGATTTCCGAACATATATTAGGAATGATATATTTTTTTATTATAAAATAATCAGTGTATATTAATTATTATTGAGAATAATTAATTTGATTTATTTTTAATCTTTATATATTGTCGCCGCTTACATTTCAAGAGTATTATTTTGAATATATATTTCTTTCTCAATGTAATATAGTAAAATAGCGATCTCCAATGAGCCAATGATCTTTTACTTCTAATTATTATTTAAATTCTGCTCGACGTACTTTACGGACGAACCCTTTTACACAACCATCATGTAATAAATTGTGTTAACAAAAGAAATTTTTTGAAAATAGATAAGGTTTTAAAAATAGTAAACACAAGCTCATAAATTTCATATTTCACATTTATTGCGAGTTCAGTTTTATAATTAGTAATAATTTATTTTATACATAAATCGCATAGCGAAATAAAGTTATAATCACAAAGTCCCAGCAGAAAAACAACAACAAATGTCGTTTAATTATAGAGTATTATTATTAGCAAGCGATTGCACGCGTGTCTTCTAAGAATACCAGTAAAAAAATAAAAAACTTTCAGTTGATATAAAATCAAAAAAAAAAGAAAAACAATAACTAAAAGACTTTCCGTAATAATCGTAATTGATCAAAAGGTATCTGACATAACCTTCTCGATGTTTTTGTTGACGAAATACATGTACTACTTAAACTTGAGTTTACGGTAAGACTTAATAAGTTATTTAACTTATTAGCCAAAAAGGGAGAAACTTTTAAAGAAATAGCATTTGCGGATGTTAAACCAAACAAGTTTGTTATTATTTTGGATCTTTTAGATTAGTACTTTATTTCTAGCTAACTTTTTTATATAATAGTTGCTGTTGTTGGAATGCATTGCAAAAAACTATTTTCAAACTTTATTGCAAGTTACCACAAAAATCCCAAAAATCGCTCCAAAAATCCCAATTCTCATGATGTTTTTTTCCAAGAAACCAATTTTCGCAGTTATGCAATTGCGTTTTTTTTACCAATAATGGCGATTTGATTTCATGTTTTACGCAATTAATGAATTAGAATTTTTTAATGTTATTTTTCTATTAGTTTTGAATAATAATTGATTTTAAATTATTTTTAGAAATATTGTTAAACTTTAATTTGGAAACTTTATTTGGAGAATGGGATTTTTTCATCTTTAAATTGGGAATTTTAATTTTATGAGCATTTGGGAAAACCGCGTTTGACGGGGCGCCACAGGGCTAGTTTACACCCTGTATTTATGTTACAATAACGTTGGTACAAAAAAAAAGGAGATGGGACTTAATAAAGTATTATTAAATGATACTTTGTTTTAGTTCAATCTTCTTAACTTCCATAAATTGGTCGAATGGATTAATTTTATGAAGATTAGAGTTCAAATATAGGTAACATCCAGTGGCGGATCTACAGTACTGCAGATTAGGCGGCCGCCTAAAGAGAAATATTATATTATAAATAAGGTGTATCTTACTTTACATTTTTTTAAAGTCAAAATTTCATTAGGATTTTTTTCACGGTTTCGGATTTGAAACCGCAAAAATGAGCGAAAGTGTTAAATATAATGATTGTCAAAATGGCTTTTTTATGCATTAGGCAAAATTTTTTTTTGCCTAATCTAAGGCAATCTGGAAAATCGAAAATTTACCCCAATTTAGTTAAAATTTGGCCGCCTGATCTGAGGCGATCTGATCAGAAAATCAAGAAAACTAGACATATTTGGCCGATTGGGTTAAGTTTAAGCATAAAAAGTCTGGAAATTAAAAAAAATTTAAACAATTTCCTTGAAATTTGGCCGATTGGGATATAGTTTACGCATAAAATGTCTGGAAAATAATACAATTCAGGGGCGGATCTAGGATTTATTTTTCCTTTGGCGATTTTTTTTTTAATATAACCGCCCCCCACCCCTTTTTTTTTTTTTTTTGTTATTTAGGTGCTCTAAGAAGTCCTAATGTTCTTGTCACAGAGCACCGCCACAAAGACAATAGCATTTATAAGTTGGCTCTCCGTTTCCAACCTTAACGATAACTTTATGTGCTTCGAGTAGAGATCTAACTCGCAACACTTAGATTACAAATCCAATGCTCTAACCACTGAGCCACGATTGTTATAACACAATCCATCCCAGACAGTGGTACTCTCAGATACCAAATAAGCAGCCCCCTTCCCCCAATTACTAATTGTGAACTCCCCAATAAATCGGATTTATATTTTCAAAAGGTTTTTATTTGACACCAGGGGGGCTCCCTCTATGACTTCTCCCAATAGCTCCCCCTATGGACTCACCCCATTTGGAATTTTTTTTTTGTGATTAAGACTCGGTGTTTGCAGCCTTTTATAAAAATAACCACGCAATTTCAAAAAAAAAAAAAAATTTAATGCTAAACTGGTTAAGACAATATAAGTCTGAAATTCAAGCAAAAATTAACTTAAAATCGCTCCCTCCCAAACTATTGTTTTGGATTTTTTTTTATAAATATAAACTAGATTCTAGTCATTATCTTTTACATGAAACATATGCAAAATTTAATAAAAAATTATACCTATACTAGCTATTCTTGATACCTACAATGTACTCAATGTCAACTAAAAATAAAAAAAGGAATTTGGAAATTCAAAATTAATCTGAATATTCTTGGTGATGTTCAGATTAATCTGCATCAGCTTAATCAGCCAAATTTATCACAATCTGTATCGGCAACTAGCACCAGCCCTTTTTATTGATTTGCTAATTTTTATTAGCCAATTCGAAGAATACAAACCGTTGAAAACAAAAAGTAGATTAACTATGATTTTATTAATACATTTTAAAAAGTTTAATTTATTGAGTAATAAATAAATTCAGACAAAAATCTAAAGAAATCAAATTTCTGACCATTTATCCCTCACAGTACAACGGGTGAGAATGTATCTGTCTGGAAGGTATTTGTTTAAAGCACATGAACCACGTCAAGGTTCCTTCCTATTCATGTGTACGATTTTTTATGCAGAACGACTGAAGGTGTATGACAGAAAAATACACAATCAATTAGCAAACTGCTTTTCCTGGCACATTTCATTCATTGATTAACAGAAAACTTAATCATAAAAGATAAAGAGTATTATGACAATAAAATAAAGTTGTTTTTAAACATTTATAAAGTTTTTAAAAAATATTTCATGATTTGAAATTACATAGTGTTGGGTAAGGTTAGGAAGCATTAACTTTAAATGTTGATAAAGTCCTTCTAGTAATTGAGTAAAGATAAAAACTGTTCTGTAATTAAGGATAAAGATAAGAAAAATTCCAGTTGTTAAAAATTGCTTAAAAATTTACACAAACCGTCTAAATCACAAGCCTGAAATTGTAGTTGCAATTTTTAACAACAAAAAATAAAAATGTGCAAGCTATTTAGTAATATTGTTCAGGAGAGTTCCTTGAACAATAATAATAATAATAACAATATAACAATTTTAATAGTATAACAATTTTAACAATATAACAATTTTTTCTAAAACAAAAATCCCCTCAGAAAGTAAACTGCTAATTTAATGAAATAAAAATTAGCATAAATAATATATTGTACTGAACTGTTTCAACCAGAAAAGTTTTCCATAACTCTTTATTTACTAATATATTTAAATGTTTTAATCTTGATTTTCACTAATTTTGGATTTTAAGGTTGAAAAATATATTTATAGCCAAATGTTTTTTTAGGCAATAAAATATATGTTTTTATCCTACATACAAATGAATGCAATACACTTTTAGTGTCAATTAGATTGACACTAAAAGTGTATTGCATTAATTCAAATAGCTACAACGAGTTTACTACAACGTTTATAAAGATGTTTGAATATTTAAACATCCTAAATTATTAATAACAATTTAAAATGTATTCAAACTCTGAATCACTTTAAGGTCTCACAAAAGATTTAACTTGTGATTATAGATTATAGTGATTATAGTAGACAAAACAAAGTCATATTCACAGAGATTTTAAGTGATTTATATGCTTTAGTCAACAGTCTTTAAACTATTAAATGTGTATAAATGTTTACGAATAAACCGAGTCACAGAGACTTTGACTTAATTGTACAGAAACATAACCATTTCTTTGCATTAACTTTTTGATAACTTCTTGATTATCTGGAACATGAGCAGGGGTTGTTTAACATTGATGTGTATACATCAATTTTAAACCAAGGGATCTCCAGACATAGTTGATCTTGACCAGGTTTTGAATCTGTGAAGATTTGAAACAGATCTTTCATAAGAACACGATGTCACAGGTGAAGTTGCTAATAACTGCAAACAAACAAAAATATTGGCAAAAGTTTTTATACATGAAATTGACTTTATAGTATCAGACACATTGTTTGGAATGGGATAATTAGTGGTAGTCCTGTATACCTCTGACCACAAAGTAAAGACCACACTCTGCATCTAAAGCTAATGGATTTGACAAATCTTCAGAATAAAAATCAGAAAAAATCTTGAAGCTTTCCCTCCAATCTTAGTCACTATATGTTTTTTATCAAAAACAGCTCTAGCCACAACCAAGAAAATAATAAATTCAAAGGTAGTGACCAATTTCAATAAAGATGTAGCTCTTTGGGAGTCTGCCCTAAACTTATTTATGTCATTGCTTATAGACTATAAACTATTGGAATATACAACTCCTGTAATGTGTCCAAACCATCTATTTTTCAAGCCACCTAGTTTAACTAACATCTTTAAGTTTTTTTTCCTTTTTATCAGGACAGTGTTCTAAAATCATTGTCTCCAAGAAAGAATTTCTTTTGATAGAAAAATTAAAATAATAGAAAACCTATTTTGCATGGTTCATAGCGTTACAGAGAAGTTGAACTTTGCAAGAATTACACACTGCTAGATTTAATCGATGACTAAAACAATAGGTGTATAAAGCCTTATTGTTTAACTTTAAAATCTTTGTAAATAATTCCATAGCTAAAACCACTAACTAGTTTTTGCATTTAATATATAGGTCGCACTGAAACATTATTTTACAAGTTAATCTGTAAGATTAACTTGTGATTTGCTAGCAAAATATGAATAATTTGATACTAATGCTAATCTGATGAAAACCTCTGATTAAATAACTTAATGTAAATAAAGCAGTATAAACAAATAATAACTTACAGAATAGGTACTAATTTATCCGATTTTGCATTTTTGTTTAAGTAGGCTTCAGCGCAAATATTTCGCTTAAGATGAACTTGATTAATTAATGAATGCAAAAAACATAAAGAATCAACTTGGAGGAAATACTTCTTGTTGATCTTTTCGAATGTAACTTTATCGCTTCTCTCTAATACAATTCGCAAATTATCAAAAACCTTAGACTTGGAGGAAATACTTCTTGTTGATCTTTTCGAATGTAACTTTATCGCTTCTCTCTAATACAATTCGCAAATTATCAAAAACCTTAGACATCTTAAATTAGACACTTGAAGAAAGAAATGCAAATTGTATTATTTTCCAGACATTTTATGCGTAAACTATATCCCAATCGGCCAAATTTCAAGGAAATTGTTTAAATTTTTTTTAATTTCCAGACTTTTTATGCTTAAACTTAACCCAATCGGCCAAATATGTCTAGTTTTCTTGATTTTAAAAGTGTATGATAAAATTTGCGTTGGTTTTAAAATCATATTTTTTTGAGCATTTAGATCATCAAAAAAATATGATTTAAAAACCAACGCGAGAGGCATAAAAGGTGAAATTGCGATTTAGATCTATTTAGATGCCTCTTAATCATGGCTGCCTCTCAATCATGGCTGGCTAATCAATTAGTTAATAGATTCAATCAATATACAATATAAGTCTATATATATTCAAATTACAAATTATGATTTGTATATTGAATATATAATAATTGATCAATTAATAAATTGTATAAACAATTTCTTACAAAAGAATATTTCCTCCCAAACTTTCAAAAATACAGTTAGTAGTTTAAAGAGTGATTAATTAGATAATTTAAAAAGTTCAAAGTTTTTATCCAACAGATAATTTCTTGATTTAAAATTTAAGAATTTCAAAGGTATTAATTGGTTTGATTGTAACTATAGTTACAATTAAACCAACTAATACCTTTGAAATTCTTAAATTACAAAAATCTTTCTAGTAATCCAACAAGTATACTTGTTGGATTACTAGAAAGATACGGTAAAGTAGAAATTACATACTGTAAAAAAATTAAGTAAAAAAAATAAATTATAATTTACTTTTTTAAATATAACTCAAGTTATCAACACCTTTACTCTCAATAAGCATTAAATATAGAATTAAGCAATTTTTAACAACTGGAATTTTTCTTATCTTTATCCTTAATTACAGAACAGTTTTTATCTTTACTCAATTACTAGAAGGACTTTATCAACATTTAAAGTTAATGCTTCCTAACCTTACCCAACACTATGTAATTTCAAATCATGAAATATTTTTTAAAAACTTTATAAATGTTTAAAAACAACTTTATTTTATTGTCATAATACTCTTTATCTTTTATGATTAAGTTTTCTGTTAATCAATGAATGAAATGTGCCAGGAAAAGCAGTTTGCTAATTGATTGTGTATTTTTCTGTCATACACCTTCCGTCGTTCTGCATAAAAAATCGTACACATGAATAGGAAGGAACCTTGACGTGGTTCATGTGCTTTAAACAAATACCTTCCAGACAGATACATTCTCACCCGTTGTACTGTGAGGGATAAATGGTCAGAAATTTGATTTCTTTAGATTTTTGTCTGAATTTATTTATTACTCAATAAATTAAACTTTTTAAAATGTATTAATAAAATCATAGTTAATCTACTTTTTGTTTTCAACGGTTTGTATTCTTCGAATTGGCTAATAAAAATTAGCAAATCAATAAAAAGGGCTGGTGCTAGTTGCCGATACAGATTGTGATAAATTTGGCTGATTAAGCTGATGCAGATTAATCTGAACATCACCAAGAATATTCAGATTAATTTTGAATTTCCAAATTCCTTTTTTTATTTTTAGTTGACATTGAGTACATTGTAGGTATCAAGAATAGCTAGTATAGGTATAATTTTTTATTAAATTTTGCATATGTTTCATGTAAAAGATGATAACCAGAATCTAGTTTATATTTATAAAAAAAAATCCAAAACAATAGTTTGGGAGGGAGCGATTTTAAGTTAATTTTTGCTTGAATTTCAGACTTATATTGTCTTAACCAGTTTAGCATTAATTTTTTTTTTTTTTTTTGAAATTGCGTGGTTATTTTTATAAAAGGCTGCAAACACCGAGTCTTAATCACAAAAAAAAATTCCAAATGGGGTGAATCCATAGGGGGAGCTATTTGGAGAAGTCATAGGGGGAGCCCTGCTGGTGTCAAATAAAAACCTTTTGAAAATATAAATCCGAGTTATTGGGGAGCTCACAATTAGTAATTGAGGGAAGGGGGCTGCTTATTTGGTGTCTGAGAGTACCACTGTCTGGGATGGATTGTGCTATAACAATCGTGGCTCAGTGGTTAGAGCATTGGATTTGTAATCTAAGTGTTGCGAGTTCGATCTCTACTCGAAGCACATAAAGTTATTGGTAAGGTTGGAAACGGAGAGCCAACTTATAACTGCTATTGTCTTTGTGGCGGTGCTCTGTGACAAGAACATTAGGACTTCTTAGAGCACCTAAATAACAAAACAAAACAAAAAATGGGGGTGGGGGGCGGTAATATTAAAAAAAAAATCGCCAAAGGAAAAATAAATCCAAGATCCGCCCCTGACATCTATAATCTATATCAGTAATACAATATGTTATTCATAAAAGTTTATGCAAAAAATGAAAATTAATCATTATAATTAATAACAGATAAAATTAATCAGTTTGAATTCAATTTTTCATTTTTTGCATAAACTTTTATGAATAACATACTGTATTACTGATAATAATTATTATTATAAGTTAATTCTTTAATTATTCTTGAACCAAAACCTTCCGATAGATATAAATAGAATTGATATACAATAAAACTAGATATTGCTAACAACCCGAATCTTCAAGAAACTCCTCCTACTATTTCCTATCATCTTACTATTTCCTATTATCTCAAAGGTTTCTTAAAGAATAATTTAGTTATAATTAATAATAATTTTAATATTAATAATATTAATAATAAAATTAATAATAAAAAATATCTTAATATAATAGACAAAATAATGACAAAATAATTTAGTTTTGTTATTTTTTTCATTGTAAAAAAATAAACCATTAAAAAAAGACTAGAAGTAATGCAGAAAGATACTAGAAAAATAAAATTAGAGTCTATAAAAGTAAAAGTTCTCCCAAAGTTTAATAATCAATTATTATTAAAAGCGAAAAGTAAATCTTTATCAACAAAGTTATCCTTTTATCCAACTGTAATGTTTTATTTGATATTTTTAGTCCATATTTACTATTGTGTATTAAGATTGTAAAGGCACTGATAATTGAGCTATAGATAAAATAACTAAATTATTTTATTTTTTAATAACTTGTATTCATGCATTGGTTGTTATGGCCTATGTTTTACCACTTTCCAAATACAGAATTAATATTTTTGGTTGCATTTAGAGTATTTTGTGCTATTGTTTGACAATGTTGTACTTTACTACCAGATTTACTTTACTACCAGTACTTTACTTTACCAGTACTTTACCAGTACTTTACTACCAGTACTTTACTACCAGATTATCCTATTTATCGAAAAAGAATTCGCAAAATATTTAACATCATTTAACTTAAATGACTATAGACTGTTCACAATTTTAAAAAGTTCAACACAATTTCAAACTGCAAATTTTAATTTCAGCACTCTTAAGTTTTCTCACTATAACAATACAAAAACTGAATAAGTATTAAAATTTGTGAAATTAAAATTTGTTTACGTAGACTAGAATTTTTGACTTGCAATGTTGATAATAACCTTTGAAGTTTGTTGAAATTTATTTATTAGTTGACATTTTGTTCTCTAATTTATTATCTGAATTAACAGGTAAAAAATCAACTTGTTTTTCGCTGGAACTGAATGACGTTCAACTGGTGGTTTGCTTTTGCAACCAAGAAGTGTAAAGGGATTTGGGATGTTAAAAATAGTAAGTAATTGCTGATTGTAACAAACACTTTCCACCATTATTTGTAGAATAACACATTGTACTTTAAAAATGACTTTAAAAATTACCAAATACACAATTAATATTTTTTGTTGCATGGATAGTATTTTGTGCTATTGTTTGACAATGTTGTACTTTAATCAGATTATCCTATTTATCGAAAAAGAATTCGCAAAATATTTGTCAATAATGGACATCGTTTAACTTAAATGACTATACAGGTAGACGGGCCCCAAAAACCACATGATTTTTTCTTTTGTCATATCTTTTGTACAAAACAAAAAATTTAACTTTTTTTTTCTTTTTTATATTCTTTTATATAGTAAAAGTTCTTCCCAGGGGTTAAATTTTTTTTTTTTTTTTTTTACTTTTTTTTTCAATGTAAAGTTTCGCTATATTTTAGTATGGGACCTCAAAAACCACATGGCTTAAATCGTGTTCAACTTTTTTGAAATTAGTTTTAACTTTCCCATATTTTGAATAAGTTTGTTATATTAAATTCCCCTTCATATAGTATTTTGATTGCAAACTTATATTTTATGGAAGTACCTGAGGCGCTACAAAAACCGCATGATTGGGACCCCAAAAACCACATGAGTTATTTTAGTTTTGACAAAAATCTAAGTAATATTACAAAAATTCAAGATTTAGAGTAGATTTGTAGTAGTTGTAGCTATCGTTTTTGTTATACTAAATTTATAAAATGATTTTATTTTACGTTCTTGCGTTAGAGGATAGTTTTAGTTAAGTTTATGTGATTTTCGATTTTTTGTTTTTAAGAAAATAAATAAGCATGAGTAACAGCAGCAAAAAGTTCAAAACTCACTTGCAGATGAAATCTCTAAACCCAAGTTCTAATGCTGAAGCACTTATAAAGAGAAAAGCTACATTAGAAAAAAAAAAAACAACTTAAAGCTGCTGTTCAATGGTGTAAAGAAAATAATGTAAGAGGACATGCTGCAATTAAAGCTAGACAATTCCCACTTATTAAAGATCGTGAAACTATAAACCATGGGATGGGAAAATAGTCAATGGTCTTGAAAGGCAGTACTGTGCAATTCTTTTGGAGGAAGAAGAGATTTCAATTGTTTCATACATTAGGAATAAAAATCGAGCAATGCAGGGCATAAACAAAGCAGAACTAACAAAACTTGTCCTTGATGTTCTGAAAGTTAGACAATACACAAATAAAAGATTGAAAGGTGGGAGAAAATTCACAGCATTATCAGCAAATGCAAAAAATGCTTTGAAAAAAAACAAGTAATTATGTTTTTTGTATATATATATATATATATATATATATATATATATATATATATATATATATATATATATATATATATATATATATATATATATATATATATATATATATATATATATATATACTAAGATATAACATACTAAGATATAATGTGATTGCTTGAAGTTTTTTAGTTTAACTTGTTAATTTTTTTTTTTTTATTTTATTTAAAACGCAGATCAGGTAAATTGTTCTGGATGTGCTTTAAAGCTAAGAATCCAAGCTTAACACTCAAGCGACAAGGAAATGTGTCAATAAATAGAGCTCTCAATTTCACAAAGGAAATGGCATGTTCCCACCTTGGTATGAGTAAATATTGAGTTATTATAATTCATAGTATACATATGCTTTATTTAAAATTTAACCCAGAGCTACGCCTTGTTATCAGTTTATGAATTCTTACATTTTACATTCATGAAAATAGTTCTAGCAAAACTGAGTTACTAATTGTTTGTCATGGTTGTCTTTAGACAGTCTTGCAGAGGAATTGATCGAGGCTGGCATTATGACTGAAGCAGCCCAAAAGGAGACAGGAGTTTGGTCTGGAAATATTGATCTATGCAGAATATTGTAAAATGTTGTAAAATGATAAGAGAGAACCGTGAATGTGTCACCATTCATCCTCTAGTATCATTTTCAGGTAGCTATTTCCATATCACTTTTTTGATAAATATTTATAATATAGATTGAAAGGGTGGTGTTGTATAATATTTCTTTGTAATTTTAGGAGACCTTTGTGTCTGTCAAGTACTCTTTGGTACTGTTGGAATAACTAATCAAATGGCTCCACAGGAAGCTGTGGCAAATATTCTGCATCTTCTAATAACAACGTGCAATCATGGTGTATAAAGAGTTTGATGAATATCTTACTGGAAAAAAAGTTGCACGACCAGTAGTTTTGCTTTCTGATGGGCATTGTTCACGCTTTAATTTTGATGTCTTAAAGTTTTTACAATCAAAAAACATGCGTATGTTCTTAACTGTACCAGATACCACTGGTGTGACACAGCTTTTAGATCAACTTAATAAAAACCTTTATCATGAGTATCGTGGTATGAAAAAATTTTAGGACGTATTTGGAACAACTGGGCCCCAAGACAATCTATAATCAAAGCTGCAAGACGTGTGGGAGTAACTTCCATATCATTAAATGTTAACGATATGCAGCAGGACAAGTTTGCACGAGCTGCTTTATGTATTGATTCTCCAAAAGGTATTACACTCAGTACAACAATTCATGGAAGATATACTATTAATTCTCCTGATAAAAGAAAAAATTCAGCTCAGTATTGGAAAGAAAAATTTCAAGATCTAAGCGAAAAAAGCATTCAACTTGAAGAAATTCCTGGTTTACTGACAGTGCAGAAAGTTAAGCCAAAAATTTCCAAAATTACTACAAGGGTTACGCAGGTTCACGGATCAATGAAAGGAAAAAATGTGTTGGACTTAGTCAAGGTAATTCAAGATAATAAAAATCAAGAAATAAAAGATAAGGAAGAAAGAAGATGGAACAAAGAGAAACAAAAAGAAGCATTTTTACGGTGTAAAAATGAATGTAACTGTGGAGAAAGTGTGTGCCATGCCATAAAACTACAGCAATGCTCTTCTTGCCACAATGTTCAAAGATCAGTCTGCGGAAAGTTATCTTGTAAAGTGGATGGGAAGAAACGGATAATGATTTTAGCTGCTGCAGCAACCAACAACTCACTCAAACGTAAGGTTATTGAGCATGAAAGTGATGAAGATGCTAGCAGTTTGAAGGATACACCAATAAACTGACTTTACAGTTCTTATGTCCATATAACAATATGTGATATGAAGAAAATTCCATTATTAATAGTCAATTAGTTGATCAACTTATTTGAGAGTCAATAGTTAATATTTTTTACAAACAACTTGTCAATCTTTTATTTGATTGTTAAATAGTTATTAATAGAAAAAAGAAAAAATGCAACTTAATGTTGAGTTTTAGATCCATATATATATTTTTTTGTTAAGGGACCCCAAAAACCACACATAAATACTCATTAGTTAAGTTGAGTTATTTTAGCAACTGTCATTTTTATTTATTTTCTATTGATTTATTTGCAGAAGTATGTCTTAAATCTTTACAAAAAACTTTACTTTGCAAACTTAAATGAAAATTTCAAGTTTTTATAGACTATTATGTCAAAAAGTCACACAATTGAAAAAAAAATTTATAGTGTTTTGTGAATAGTTTTTAAAATATTAGAGTAATTTTCTTATTTTTAACATTTTCCTTTCAAAAAACTATCAAAATAAAAAAATTTGTTTTGCTCCTTGATAGGGCTTAATCTATGAATAACAGGTACTAATGTGAGCATGTGGCTTTTGGGGTCCGTGAGTTTTTAGCGCCCGTCTACCTGTAGACTGTTCACAATTTCAAAAAGTTCAACACAATTTCAAACTGCAAATTTTAATTTCAGCACTCTTAAGTTTTCTCACTATAACAATTCAAAAACTGAATAAGTATTGTGGTATTTGATGTATAATGGTATTTTAGCACATGAAAGTTGTATTTTTTCAGCAATATTAACATATCTATACTATTTAATACCAGATAGTGAAAACTAGTGTGGTACATTAAGCTTTTGAATTTTTTTCAGAATATGCACAACAAAAATTTCGACTCAAGTTACTTTGTTTAGTCATGAGTCTGAATTTTTCTAAATTTTATTATAATCTATATATTTAATAAGATCAGTTATGTATATTTTCTCAATCGTAATACTTATTTCAGTTAAATGTTTTTGTATATGTTGCTGAATATTATTGTAAATAAGTTGAAAGGATAGAAAATTGTTTTCTTAGCTTGAACACATTTCTTGTTATTATTTATATAATAATTTTAGTAAAATGTTTTTAGTAGATTTTGTATCAGTATAATTTTTTTTTCCATTATGCAAATAATATTACTTCTCACAGTAAATTTTTTTGTGATCTGAAGAAGTTAGTATTATAAGTTTAGTTTTCTTTAATATAATAACAACGCATTTTTATAAAGAAAAAGCATCGAAAAGAAGGCATTTTTATAAAGGGATAGTAGAGATAGTGATGTAGATTTTACACGTGAATATAAAACATTGTGACAATGCAATTCAAAAGTTTGTTTCATTCATTTTTGACTTGATATTTTGTTTTTATAACATCGCTCTGGAATTTCTAATTTTCTAGGTTTATGACAATAACTGTTTTGTGTTCATTTTTTTAAAAGCAAGGCGTACTTGATTTGGTTAGACAGGGTCATAGAAAATAAGCCTTTTACTTTGACAACATCATTTTTGAACTCATGGTATTTTTTCTTTTGCTACATGAAAGTTTTTTAAAAATAATAACAATAAAGGGACATATCAACTTTTTTTGAAACAAATAATTCAAAAAAACATTGAAACCAGCAATTCAAAATAAAATATCGGTGGAATCTTATTTTTAAATAAAACTACAGCAGGAAGAGTTTTTCTCCATAAGATTTTTATAACTAACAAGCAACGTAAACATCAGGTGAACTAAAATCCATTTTAAAAGTCACAGTTTTTCTGGCTGTCCTAAACTGCTTTCTCTTATAATAAAAGTATAATTTTTAAAAATAGATAAAGTTATAGAATGATACATTGAGTCTTCTTTGATTAAAGAGATAGTTGAAGACGGGATGCTTGTAGAATCAATGAAAACTTCGACTACAAAACGTCACTATGCCTTTTATTTTATTTACATGCACGGAAAGGATACTGTTTAAATTTATATATTCTGATCCGCAACTCGTGTAAGGTGCAATTGGTAGATGAGCAATGGTCTAAAAATCATTTTATAAAATTGTTTTTTATTTAAAATTATCCATTGCATCTTCTTAATTGAAAAAAACATTCTCTTAACAACTGAGATTGGTTTTGTTTTTCATCCTTTTGCATATAAAGATGAAGTCGAAATCTCATATGCTTAAACCACCCCTTTTGAAAGTCCGTAATGAGTTTCTCCTAAGGGGTCGTCCATAAATTACGTCACGCTATAAAGGAGGGGGGGGGATTGGTGGTTTTGTGACGACTCGCCTCTTAAGTGTTACTATATTGTGACAAGAAGGGGGGGGGGTCAAAAACGGTCAAAAATTGCATGACGTAATTTAAGGACAACCCCTAACAATCATTTTTTAATTGCGCTTTTTTTGAAATACGTAATAAGCACAATAAGACGTTTTGAAAAACTGTTGCAGCATATATTTTTAGTAAAAAAGTAAATGTAGCAAAATAAACTTTTAATTGTCAAAAGAAAGTTTTAAGGTTTTTTCTAGCTACAGGCTTTTAAATATTTTATTTGTTAAGTTTCAGAAAAAAATTTTTCAGACCATCCGCAGTTTATTAGGACTAATTACCAGAGCACATTAATAACATTAGTATCTTAATCATGACACATACGCAACAAATTTGCTGATGTTTTACGCAACAAATGTTTTGATGTTTTTAGAAATTTCAGCTTTTTTAAAATCTGTTCGCTTGTTAAAGTGTATAATATTGTTACATATGTTTGTATATAATCTCTATAAAACTTCGAAAGTACTTGTATTTTAAAATAATTGAAAATAATTAAAAAAAAAAGTTACAAGTGGTAGAACTTGAAAAACAGCATACTTTTTCAGAAGCTCGGCGCGCTATCCACTCAGCCACACTGGCATATTGTTAAGCGAAGATTTTTAAAACTATATAATGATTTTTTAACGGAAAAAAAAATGTTATAGATCAAAATTAAGGAGAGCTTGAAGCAACGCAATTTTCATGTGAAAATCAGACTGTAAAACTTAATAAATGTTTTAGTATGTTTAAACATATGTTTTAACATTACTTAATTTAAAGTCTACGTGCGTTATATATTTGCATACACGTTCGTTCACGTTTTCTTATAAAACAAAGTGCTGCGACTCTTTCTTGCCACTACCTCGGTTGCAATGGCTGCCAAGGGTTTCGTGTCAAAAAGGCTCGAAAGCGCACTATTAAGTTCAGTTTTATTAATTAGATTAAGAAAAAAAAAGAAACAATGATACTGGACTTGATAAAAAAGAAACAGTGATTCTGGACAAAACTCTGATACGGTGTTCGAAGTTTTCTCTTTTAGAGATCAGTTTTTTTAGTAAAAAATAAATCTTTCGTAATATGAGGCTAATAGTTTTTGCTAAAAATGTTTTTATTAATTTATTTTTTATTCATGAATTGTATACTGTTTAAAAATCTATATAACAAAAACGAAATGAAAAACTCTTTCATAACTAATGCGAGTCCGAGATTATATGGAAACTTATGAAAATGTATTTAAAATTATAAATCCTTATTAAGGAATATCATAAAACAAACAATACTTAATTGCAATTCAAGAAAACGCTTCTATATTTAATGCTTATTGAGAGTAAAGGTGTTGATAACTTGAGTTGTATTTAAAAAAGTAAATTATAATTTATTTTTTTTACTTAATTTTTTTACAGTATGTAATTTCTACTTTACCGTATCTTTCTAGTAATCCAACAAGTATACTTGTTGGATTACTAGAAAGATTTTTGTAATTTAAGAATTTCAAAGGTATTAGTTGATTTGATTGTAACTATAGTTACAATCAAACCAATTAATACCTTTGAAATTCTTTAAACTACTAACTGTATTTTTGAAAGTTTGGGAGGAAATATTCTTTTGTAAGAAATTGTTAATACAATTTATTAATTGATCAATTAATATATATTCAATATACAAATCATAATTTGTAATTTGAATATATATAGACTTATATTGTGTATTGATTGAATCTATTAACTAATTGATTAGCCAGCCATGATTGAGAGGCAGCCATGATTAAGAGGCATCTAAATAGATCTAAATCGCAATTTCACCTTTTATGCCTCTCGCGTTGGTTTTAAAATCGTATTTTTTTGATGATCTAAATGCTCAAAAAAATATGATTTTAAAACCAACGCGAATTTTATCATACACTTTTAAAATTATAATTTGAATCGGATTTTTTTATTGCTGATGCCTCGCACCATTTCTTCATTTTTTACGTTGGATTTGAAGTTTTATTTAACAGTGAAACTACAAAATAATGCGTCGCTAATAGTGATACTAAAAAATGCTGATAATAAAAGCGATACTCAAAAATGATGCGTCACTAACAAAAAACTAAGGGGTCTTGGTAAAACATGTTTTTCTAAAATCGGGTATTTTATAGTTTTGCAACTAACTTTGAAAAAAGTACATTACAAAGAAAACCGATATTTACAATGAACTTACAATGAACTTACAATGAAAAATGTAAATGTTGATCCCCCAGGAAAAAAAGTTCTATAGAATTTCTCTAAACTTTGGTAATGTATGGTCTATATTTTTATAGAATTTCTATAAAATGTCTATTAATATAGAGATTGCTATAAAACTTTTTTTTCTATACAAAAAAAAGTTGAAAAAAAGTTCTCTAGAAATTTCTATAGAAATTAACAAAGATTCTAAAGAAATTTTAAAGACTTCTACAGAATTTTTAGACCACATGTTTCAATAGTTTATAGAAATTCTATAGAAATTTTATTCCTGGGCAAGCCTTGTTTCAAAGAATGAAAAATAATTTAAAGATTTGACAAGTTTGTTAGAGACAAACCAAATAATCTTGTAGATCAAATGAACAAATATCTTATAAAAAATATCTCATAGAGAATTCAACAAAGTATTAACTAAACTAAATTAAAATAAGTCAAGGGCATATGATGACGTTTCTATTAGTGTAGCAATATTAAATATTAGCGTTATTAAAGGCAAAGAAAACACTTATTTTATTTACTATAACAATACCGTTTATAAAAGCCAATTCTGTTTATAAAATGGCAATTGTGTCTAAATATATAAAATAAGTCTTACATAAAACACAATTTTCAAAAAAATTTTGACTGAGCATGTTTTTATTAAACTTATAAATAAATTATAATATATCTTTTTGATAAAAGGTGGTGGACGAATTTATTGACCTTTCAAAAGATTTCTTACAATTGACCATGACTTTTTACTATCGAAATTAAATCATAAATTGGTATCAAATGCAAAAAAATAAATTTGTCATTAATAAGGATACAAATTTTTTTAGTATTGGATGTCGGATCTCTCAGGGATAAATTTAAGGATCCTTATGTATACTGGTGATAACTATACTAATATCAATTATGTATGCTGTAATATATGCTTTGTACAAAAGAAAGTATGCTGCGTACGCAATAATGAATGCTATAATGTTGTAATGTGTACTGCTGATACAACTTTGTTTTATAATTAAAAAGTTTTCTGATTTCTTCAAATACTGTAAATATCGTCAAAGGTATCCAAAGCAAGAAAATTAAAAGTTATAAGAATCACAATTAATTTGCCACACTCCAATGTTGATCAACTTTTGTTTTCTTTGTTTTAAAGCTAACTCTTTACAATTTTCCTAGAAAATTGTCATGGTTTGTTGTAATAAAAACATAGTTATCAATCGATATTTATTAAACGTCGATTTTAAATAAATATATAAAATTGACGTTTAATAAATACCAAACCAAATAAATTTAATTATAAACTGTTTATTCTATCTCTTGTATTTTCTTATTTTGTTTAAATTTTTTTAATTTTTTTGATTTTCTTATTAAGTTTATTTTTGATTTTGTTTACTGTCATCAGAGTATTAATAAAGTTAATAAGCATTAACTTGCAACTTTTCGAGAAACCTCATCATTTTATTAATGCTAGTGATTTAAATGTCTTTATTTCTAGATTTGAATAATTTATTTTTATTCTTTATATCTTTACTTTTTTCATTTTTAGGCACCAAAATTCATGTGTATCGATCAGAAAATTCATCGAAATTTTAAAACATACGTATTTAAGTTTATTATGATAATGTATATTATTGTATAAACGTGCAATGAGGCGCCTTTGGCGCGTTTTTACTAATTCTCACTTATTAATACTAAAAATAAACTGCACAATTATTTTACTCTTGAATAAATATTAAAAATATATAAATAAATAATAATAAATCAAAAATTCATCATCAAATTGAAATTCCTAAAGATATTTTCATTTAAAGTCAAAAAATAATAATAATAAAACGAGAACAACTTTGTAAAACTGTAAAGTAATGTCAATTATTATTATTTTTTTTTTTTTTTGTGTTGTGTATATTGTACATACTATTATCCTAAAAGAAAAAACAAAATTAAATATTTGACACAGAACTCTTGCATGTACCTAAAACATTCTTAATAAAATGAATGTTATCGTAAGTATATGAATTTGTTAAGCAAACAAGAACTAAATCTAAATCTAACAAAAACTAAATTTTTTTGTCTTCATAGCTATTATCTATTGCGAACTTTTTTCCTTTTTAACAAATTTCAATTAAAAAAAAGAGTTCCGAATGAAGGTACTTAATGTTTTAATGGAACGCCAAAACGTCAAAACTATTGGGAAGAATTGAAAAGAAGCAAACTGCTTTCGTTACAATATTTTACAATATTTCGTTTACATATTTACAATATTTCGTTACAATATTACAATTGTTTTTTGAGAGAATACTTTTTAATTAAAAAGTATTTTACTTGTTTAAAGGTTTTACTAATTTTAACGTTAAAAAAAAAAAAAAAATGAACGAAACGGAACATTGCAAAGTGTTAATATCACCAAGTTTTTCTACAGCTGAAAAATTGATTTTTTTAATTATAAATTTATTTACTGCATTTGTAGCAATATTCGGAAACTGTTTGGTAATTACTGTGGTATTTTTAAATTCAAAACTTCAAACTAGATCCGTCTGCTTTTTGGTGTTTTTATCAGTAACAGATTTAATCACTGGCGCGTTAGTTCAGCCACTATCGATGGCCATAATTTTGCGTAAATGGGACAATAAAACTAACTGTTATTTATCAATGTTTTTAGCTTTTATTGCAACTATTATGTGTGGATCATCGGCAAGCATGTTGACGCTAATAAGTTATGATAGATATATGCATTTATCAAAATTAAACAATTATTCCGTTCATATGACTTCCTTTAAAATAAAGATTTTATTAATTGCAGTTTCGATGTACCCAGCGTTAACCGGAATATTTATGTTTACAATACTAAGTTCAGTTTTTTATTATTTAGTAATTATCGAGTCATTATTGCTAATGATAATTATGTGTTTTTGTTACTACAAGTCATGGAAAATCGTCAAGAGTCAAGCTTTAAAAAGAACTCGAAGCAAAGAAAACAAAAGGCTTGTTGATCGACATTGGAAAGTGGCAAAATCAATGGTGATTCTCATAACATTCTATTTTCTTGCTTGGACACCTTTGACGGTATTCACAGCGTTTGACGAAATTAGGAAACTTTTTAAATATAACTTAGGTATACATGATCACAATAAGTTATGCATCCTTTACTTTTGTTTACTATGTGGATTTGCAAATGCTGCTGTAAATCCTTTTATTTATTTTCAAAGAAATAGCAAGCTAAGAAAAGCTATGGCAACTTTGTTAAACCAAATCTTATGCTCCGCATGTCGAGTAGCTGAAATTGAATTACTTAATGAAAATGACAACCTAAACGCCACAAATACCGGAAAAAATCTAAACAAGAACGGTTTTTGCGATAACGTTTTTTTGAATAAAATAGTGGTAAAAAAAGAAACAAATTCGCAACTTGATTTAAAAGACTAAAAAAAAATTTATTTACAAAAATTTCGTTTACAAAAAAATGTTTGTTTACAAATAATTTTGTACAATTTAAATCATCATCGATCATAATTGATTACCATCGATCATCATCGATCATCATCAATCACTATCGATCATTATCGGTCACCATCGATCATTATCGATCACCATCGATCACCATCGATTATTTGAGAATAATTTTAAAAACTTTAAACAGCAATAAAATCTTGCTATCGCAACTAAATAACACTAAAAAAGCGTAACTTTTAAAATTTAGTATTTTCTTCATGAATATCCAGAACGTTATAGGCAAAGATAAAGCAATTTTCAATATTTAAGAGATCATAACAATAAATTTTTATGCTTTTTTTTTCTGAGTTACTTAATATTTGTTATACCTTGTAAAATTTAGATTAAAACTACAATCCACTACTTCAAGTTAATCCAAAGAATGTTCCTGAATACATAAATAATCAAAGGTTATAAATATACAATTGTTAATACAATTTAAAAATTTTTCTAAATGCAGTATTATTAGTAGTAGATAGCAAGTAGTCAAAAGTATACGGCCACCATCTTACTCCAGGAAATGTAACCAACGAGCTGTCGTTTATGTACTTTTTTTTGTACCTAATAAAAATCGTAACTATTACAGAGTTTGTCCAACAATTTAAGTGGATTTAAATTTTATTAAATTTATTTCAATTGAATTAATTAAATTAACTTAAATTATATAAAATGCTCTTAAAAAATATGCTTTCTAACATAATTCTTTATAGAAGAAAATTATTAAATATAAATACTTGGTGAAAGTTTTGCTCAATTATATCTATCTTTTTATCTCCACATACAGTTGCTGCTGCTTCTGTGAGCTATTTAATGTTTTAAAATTGCGCGGTCATCTGAGAGCAATAAGTTTTTGCATACTTTGTATATTTTGTAAATCATTTTCTTAAGTTGTAATTTATATTAATTGGAAAAAAACTATTAAAATTTTCTAATTAACAAGATTATGGTAATATTTTGCATCAAAGTTTAGAGAAGGAATTAAGATTTTTTATTGAAATTACCAAGTTACTTAAGTTAAGCCCTAAAAATGCAGTGGCTTTAATTGCTTTTTGAATAAAAACAAAACTAAGTCAAAAATTTTAATACTTAAATAAACAATACTGAAATATCTTTTTGAAATTTAAACTCAAAAAATTTGTATCTTTAGTGTTTAAGGGTTAAGTTTATAAAATTGAAAAATAATGAACTAATTTTTTTTGGGTAAAACATAGTAGTATTGCTTTTATATAAAGTAGCCTAAAATTTGATCTTTTAATGATAAGTTTTGTTAGATACGAATCATTACCCAGATGGCATTTGTTTTTGAAAGTTACGTTCTAAATGTATTTTAAATGTCTTTTTAATATTCTTACGCAAAGAACGTTTAAAAGACATTTAGAACATAACTTTTAAAAACAAATGCCCGTAGGGTATATTCTACAAATTAGTTCTAATTTTCAGGTTGGTAATTTTTTACTTAATTAATGTAATTTTTTTGAACTAATTTATAGTGTTCATATTACCAAGTGGTCTTGGTAATATGAGCATTTTTGCTCCTTTTTTAAACCTCTGTAATTTAAAAAAATTTCGGGTGCCCAAATATCTAAGTGGATCATAAGTAATGAATCCTAAAAATTTTAATCAAAAAGGAAAAAGAAAAGCTGAATTAAACACCACAGATGTTTTGCCCTCACGTAAAATTTGCAGTGGCGGATTAAGACTTCTTGGGGCCCGGGGCTATTTTTGTTTTTTGGAGGCCTTTTTATGGGCCAGAGCCTAAAAATGACTAAAAAAAAAGGTCCTCTAAAATTTTTGGAGGCTAAATTTGCAGGGCATGGGGCTATAGTCCCCCTAGCCCCCCCCCCCCCCTTGATCCGGCACTGAACATTGGCGTTCCAGTTTAAAAAAAGACCACACTAGAAAAAACACTAAAAGTTTAGTCGGTCAATAATAAAATCTGTAGACAAATAAAATGTGTAAAGCATACAAGCAATATTCAATACCATGTTTTAAAGTTTTTTTTTGTGTGTGTGGTTGTTAAGGTACTCCCAAAACTCATCACAGTCTTATCAATCAAAACTCATCACAGTCTTATTAATAGCACCGTAGAAAAGCATTTAACTAGGAAGTTCATAATTCCTTCCTTACAAATGTTGCTTATTGTGTTAGAGTCGGCGTCGAACCTCCGACCTTCTCCGACCTTCTGAAGCCAGAACTGCGCCGCGTGGGATTTTTACAATTTTTCATGAAAAAAAAATTTCGGTACTCGATTACACTATTAGTAGTACGACGGTGGAAAGAAGTTAACGTAAAAGCATGGTTGCATATTTTAACTAACACCTAATAAATAGATTGCCCCACTCTTTTTTTTGTTTGCAAAGGTCGACTATAAATACTAAATTTACAAAAATTTTAATAAAAGTTTGAATTTACAACACTATATATGTATTTAATATCCGGATCGGATACAAGAATTTTTGGTGGTGGTGGTGAGGGAGTTAAAATATTTTTGTAATTTGTACCATATATGCGTCTTCTGAAAAAAATAAATGTCCTCAACTTTTAAAATATTTTAGGAATTTTAGATTTAGGTGGGGAATTCATAATTCATCCCCCCTTTCCCCTTAGATCCGTCACGGATGTATTTAAAAAAATATTTCACATATGTGTTAAAAAATATTTTCGAAAACTTGTAAAAATTTCTCAAATTACTGCAATGATAATGTATATCAAAAAATTGCAGTGATTAGAGTCTTGGAACAAAAATACTTTAGTTAGAGGACCAAATTTTTTAGATTTTTTTTGTTTCCAATAACAGCTTTTTTTTAGAAAACGTTTTACATAAATATGCATAAATTTTACATAAATATACCTAAATTTAAAGTATACATAACGTCTGAAATTGTAAAATCTATATCGACACTTTTATCAATACAGGTTTGCATCGAAAAAAATCCAGTTGTCGCCATTGCAATAACGTTTATTCGCGATCGGCACTCTATACAGTGGCGTAATATTGATATTTTGGTGTTGCAGGTTTTACACTTTTACTTAAGTATTGTGCAAACTTCAAACTTAAGTATGTTTATGCTTATGTCAAATGATAATGTTTAAAAAAATTGCAGTAATTGGAGCCTAGGAACAAAATACTCCCAAACTTTAACCCGCTAACTGATTGCCGTAAAGGAAAGGGGCAAATAGTTAATGTTTTTTTTTTAACTTTCACTATTTTTTCTAAATTTAACGTAATTTGCAGGTTTTAAATTTTATATAAAAATATTTTAAATCTAAGAAGATAAAAAGCTAAAAACTTTACATAATCATAACTTTCAGAAACTACAAGTTTATTAGTTGAAATTTAAAATCTCTCAACGAGTTTAAAAATAGTGCTTTAAAATAATTTATTTTATTAACTTGTTGCCCTATCGGGCGTAATTTTTTTGAAAAAACATTATCATATGACAAAATTATGAACAATGTCGAATCTGCAACACCAAAAAAATCCAAATCGGAAGTGTCACCAAAATTTCTGAATTGTGCCACTATGTTGCACGCCAATCAGAGTGATCAAGACTCTTTTGATGTCAGAAAAGGACTTTCTGATGCCAAAATCATAAGAATAGATATCTAGTATCACTATATGTAGATGTTTCCTTTTTTTGCTAACATTTGGTATATTCTTGCCCACTGTGTAACAGTACAATGCTTTTTTTTTGGTCTAATGCAAGTTTATTGATTTTAAATGCGCATCATTGGTCCGACAATATAAGCCGTCTAAGACTAATGCTATGGATCAGTATCTTTAGTAGTAGGTAAATTAAAAAGTTTGTATTTAAGATTAATAAGTCTTATAGAAAATAAAATTTATTATTGCAAACAAACACAGTCTTAAAAGACCTCTAATACATATACTAAAGCTTTCGTTAAATTCTGGGATATTTCCGGATGTACTTAAATTAGCAAAAGTAACTCCAATGTACAAATGTAATGATCATTCTGACATTACAAATACAGGCCTATATCAGTACTTTCTGTATTTTCAAAACTATTCGAACGTGTAGCTTATAATAGAATCTATGTTTACTTCATTAAAAACAATTTTTTTTTACCCAAATCAGTTTGGTTTTCAAAAAAATCTCTCTACTGAGCATGCAATTATTGAAATAGTAAATCAAATAACTAATGGTTTTGAAAATAATAAATTTACTTTAGGAGTATTTCTTGATTTATCAAAAGCATTTGATACAGTGGACTACTGTATTCTCTAAGATAAATTAAAACATTACGGAATAGTTAATAAAGCTTAATATTGGATTAAAAGCTATCTTGCAAACAGAAAACAATATGTAAATAATGCCCAATCTGGAGTGCTAAATGTCGTATGTGGAGTTCCGCAAGGATCGATTCTTGGTCCACTTCTTTTTTTAATATTTATAAATGACTTCTGTAATGCATCCTTAAAACTTAATTCAGTCATGTTTGCAGATGACACGAATTTATTTCTTACCAACAACGATATCAAGAAATTATATGCGGACATGAATATTGAACTAAATAAAGTAAATAACTGGTTTAAGGCTAACAAACTCTCACTTAATACCGAGAAAACAAACTATATACTTTTTCATAAAAAAACACAAGAAGAAAATCTTCCTCTCAAGTTGCCGAACCTATTTATAAATGATAAATTAAATAAAAAGCAATCCAATATAAGATTCTTGGGAATCGTTGTTGATGAAAAATTATCCTGGCTTCCTCAAGGTTCAATCCTTGGCCCTATACTCTTTTTAATTTACATTAACAATCTTCCAGATATTCTCACATCTAAGGTAACATTATTCGCTGACGACACTACCATTTACTCTTGTCATGATAAGAAGCCTACACTCTCTGATTGCTTGGAGGGGGTATCTGAGCTTGAAAAGGATCTCACTTCTGCTACAGCATGGGGCTCACAGTGGCTGGTGAACTTTAATTCAGATAAAACTCAATTTTATTCGGCCAATCGTTATCGTAATAATTTAGATCTTCCTATATTTATGAATGGTAATGTACTAGATGAGTCATCTACCATTCATCTTCTAGGATTAACTCTTACTTCTGATCTTTCTTTTAAACCGTATATCAAATCCATTGCAAAATTAGCATCTGCTAAGGTTGCATCTCTTTATCGAGCTCGACACTTTCTTACTCCAGATTCTATTCTCTATCTCTATAAATCTCAAATCCGTCCCTGTATGGAATACTGTTGCCACATCTGGGGCGGATCTTCTAATGATGCTCTTTCTCTTTTAGACAAGGTGCAAAAACGAATTGTAAACATAGTTGGACCTGCTCTGGCAGCCAATCTCCAAACTTTGTCACATCGTCGTAATGTTGCTTCTCTTTCTCTTTTCTACAAATACTATAATGGGCACTGCTCTAAAGAGCTAGCGTCCCTTGTGCCATCTACTAAAATTCATTCTCGTGTTACTCGCCATTCAATTAAGTCTCATACTTTTTCTGTGACTGTTCCTAAGTGCTTCAAAAACTCTTATTCTTCTAGTTTTTTTCCTCGAACATCAGTTCTTTGGAATTCGCTTCCTTCATCTTGCTTTCCTGATTCATATAATT